AGGAATATTACTATGATAGGCTTCAAGATGGAATGTTCAGAGAACTTCTCTTGGCTCATAGATAATTTAGCTCAGGTCATCAGGTCATTTGTAAAAACTGACTTTGTTGCCACAGCATAACTTTTGTAATCCTAAAATAATATCACTCTCTTACAGATGACAAAAAGCTGGATATCGTTGTTTTGACATTCAGGCACCTTAACCTAATAGCTCTTTTCCCACATATTTCAGACCATATGTTTCAATTAAATATCTTCCAAATGATTCAAATTCCTATAGGGGTACATTTAAACTTTTAGAATATCCAGTCTTTAGTCTGCAAGACTTGGCATCAAATTTATAATGGCCATAGCTTATGGGAAAGCTGGGCAAAGCATGGTTTCTTATATTATTAATACCCCACTTTCGTGTATAATAGAGGCTTCAATGTAGAAGAGGAGTAAAAGTACAGTAAGTGTGCAGCACTGAGGCACCAGGAAGACACAGAGAAACATTCTAATGGAAAACAGAGATGCATAAACCCACAGAGCCAACTAGAGCTCACAGCCTTCTTTTAAGCCCAACAGTCAATCAGGGGAATATGAGATGGAACTAATAATCAGCACAGTCAAACTGAATGAACCAAGTCAAATAAATGTGAGCAGCTACATAGTGAATTCTTGTCTCAAAAACAAACAAGGAAGCAAATCAAGAAAAAACAGACTGGGGATATATCTCATTGGTTAGAGCACTTGCCTAGCAGGCAATATATGAATGCTTTGGGTTTGATCCCCAGTAGTGAAGAAAACCCACAAGATTTCAGCAAAAACAAGCTTCCTCTGATTGGATATTTGTCTGTTGTTTCTACAGTTTGATGGAGAGATCTTAATTAGTGAAGGCAAAAAAAAAATCTCCTGTATATCAATAATGATTTTTCCCACTGTTGATGGGTTTAACTCTTTCTCAGTCTCAGTTTTCAGTTTTTCAGTTACTGTGCTTATTAAAATAGGGTGTTAAAGATTTGGCTCCACTTTTCTTAAGTAATCAGTCACAGTTTTGATTCAGAGTCTTATTTGTCCCTTCAGTGTAGAATATAACTGTGGCTCTTTGGTATGGGGTGTATGTGAGAGAGACATGTTCTATTGCCTAACATTCCTCTTTCCGTGTGTCTAATTAGATGGTATGAATGTTTGCAGAAGGGGTACAAAAAGACAACTGTAGTGTTGGGGATGTAGTTCAGTCGCAGAGTGCTTACCAGATAGCTTAACATACTAGGCTCGATTCCCATCACTTAGAAAAACAAAAACAAAAAAATCAAAAAGATAATCTTTACCCAAATACCTAGGGTGAGATTGTTACTCCCATGCAACTACTCATCACTGAGGGCTCAAACTAGATTCTCAGAGTCCAAAGACCACTTAGTTCTCCCACCTTAGCAGCTCTCTTGGGTTTCAGTCGCATCTTTGAAGCCTGGGCAATATCTTGCACATAACTTTTATACTGGTATCCTTATGACATGTAGGTCTCTTCATCCTATTCTGTCTCTGGTAAATCTATATGTTAATTTTTTGCCTCCTTAGCTTCAACTTTGAACCCTGCCAACACGGTGAAATTTTTTTTTTCCGAATTGGCTACTTTGGAAAAAAAATCCTGGACCTTTCTACACCTGGCTACATAAAGGCATCCTCTTTTTACAGTGTTCGTCCCAGGCTCCTATGACATATAAGTAGCTTAAAATCCAGCAGTAAAGCAGATCCATCAGAGTAATGAGAAGAGAACAATATCCCAAAGCTTTGTGCACAATTCTTTTAGGATCCTACTCTCCTGGCTTTGGGGAAAATAATCAACTAATCAAATACTACAACCTCTGAGATAGCAGATAAAGGAGCTTGCCTGCCAACCTAACAACCCCAGTGAAATTGCTAGAACCCATATGGTAGAAGAAGAAAACAGACTCTTACCAGTTGTCCTCTGACATCTGCCTGAAAACCATGGCGTGTGTGTGTGTGTGTGTGTGTGTGTGTGTGTGTGCAAATAAATGTGATAAAAATTAAAACACTGCCATGTACCACCACAAGAGGAGACAAAAAGAGATTAAAAACACAAAAACTGCTTCTCCCCAAATATGAACTCAGTTTCTTTACCTGATACTACACCACTCTTTCATTACTTAAGAGTAAGTGCCATTAAATCAATTTTCCTTCTCTGCCCTCTGGGACACATGAATCCCAAAACTCAGAATCTGATGTCCTTCTAACTTGGCCTTGGAATTCTTGTAATTTTGTTCTTAATGGGTGTTATTTATCTTTGACACATCACAAAATTCCATGGACTGGAAAACCCCTCAGTCAACTTCACCCATTATTTTGATAAATCTAATAGAATTTCCAGGATAGTTTGCACCTGACTCTAAATCATTACTTTATTCTAACCAATCTATTATATAACATGGTATCTGAAAACATGTACATATGTATGTTTTCATCCAAGAAAATTTGGTACTCTAAAACAAAATATTTATCTTAGATGGGTGAAAAGAACAATGTCAAACCCCCTGAAAGAAGTAACGAGCCACTTGATAAACTTCATATCCAAAGGTTATGTCTCAATGATTTATGCTTCTCTACTTTCAGGGAATTCTTTCTAAGTAATCCTGAACATTAAAGCTTTACTATATTGTCTGTAATACCCAGAGCAACAACAACAACAATAACAACAACAACAACAAACAATTAGCATAAGTACAGGGTGCATTCATTCAGCAAACATTCACTAATCACCTACTTAGTACAAAGAACACCATAATTCACTAAGTATGCAAAGCAGAACAAAAAAATTGTGTTTCAGTCCCTTGTAGATTTTCTAAGTGAACAGTAGCTAAGGAAAGAAGCACATTCTGCTGCTCTTAAAACATTGTTAGAATTGTTAATTGAAAGGGTAATTTACTGTGCTTTTCTAACATATAGCTGAGTCTCAGCCAGTCACAGCTTTCCAACATCCAGTCAGTAGTGGGGGAGTAACTGTTTAAACCAAGCTAAAAAAAAAAAAAAGCAAGCACTAAGCTACTAAGCTGTAGTCAATCAAGCTGTCTCTTTTGCTCAGCTCTGTTTTCTGTACATTTCCATCTTCTGTTCAAAAATGTGCCCTGACCTGTTGAAGAACAGAGCTCTTTGAAACCGTTAAAAAATGCAGAGTGACCATGTTGAAGAACAGAGTTCTTTGAACCTGTTCTGGTTTTGTGTGTTTCTTTGTGAATCATTCATTCTTTGCCCAAATTGATCAATTTACCTAGTTTTTATTTTTAACAATGAAGAGGTGTTAACTGTAAGAAAGAATCCAGAAGTCACTAGTGTTACTTTAAAAGGCAGTTATTAGTTGTGATTTTGCAATTTGAGCTTTTGGAGCTGATAACATATTTATACATATCCAAAAGCACAGCCTAATATGTGATA